CATTTCGGATGCTGGAGATGCTGGGGACTGCTCAGTCACTGGTGACATTTCGGATGCTGGAGATGCTGGGGACTGCTCAGTCCCTGCAGACATTTCGGATGCTGGAGAGGCCGAGGACCGCTTAGTTACTGGAGTCATCTCGGATGCTGGAGAGGCTGGGGACTGCTCAGTAGCTGTTTGCACGGAGGATCGGGACTGTTCAGTCATTGGTGATATTTCCAATAATGTGGTAGCGAGGAAAAATGGTGTTTGATCTGGATAATCTGTTTCTCTAGAGCTGATGCTGGAACTATCACTACTTGCGCTTGCTAGTTTTTGTTCACTTCCGGACGCCAGTATTTCTGTTAATGGTGTTTCCACGCTTGAATGGGGTTTAGTCTCTTCACTTAATTGTTCTCCAGTAAAAAAAATTTTTTCACTTGATTTGGTAAATTCGTTAGTAGTGGCCATAGTACACTCAACTTCTCCACTCGTGGTCGTTTCTGCATTCTTTCGTGTTTCTGTACTTGATTCTGTATTCTCACTTGAATGATGTGTAGCTCGCGTGGTGCTTTGTCCTTCCCAAAGTTTATGTCCAGTTGTGTCTCTTTCTGTGGAACTGAGGGGATTTTTGCTACTTCTTGCACGTGCCGTTTTTAAAGTCACAACACTTACGTCCTTCGCTGTTTCTCCATTATTTGCATTTGGTGTTCCTCCACTTGATATTTCTGTGTTTGATTGTGTTTTTTCTTCAACTGGTATGTCTGTATGGTTTTTTTCATAAGTTCTTGGTTGCGTTCCTTGACTCACAGGTGTTTCTGTGTAGGCTGTTTCGTTAGAGTTGGCATAGGGACTTTTACTACTCCCCCTTGTTAAAGTTCGCTTGCTTGATTTGACTTCTCTACTTGCAGTTGCTGTCAACCCAGCGTTAGGATATCCCACACTTCTGCTCGTTACTTCTCCAGATTGTTGAATAAAAACACTTGCAGCTTGCGTTGTATTTCCCTCACTTGCAGTTGATTGTAGGAACTTTCTTTCAGTTGATTTCTCAGTATATTTGTTTGTAGTTGTTTCTTTATCCGTAGATGAATAATTTTCCATCGTAGTGCTTACTTCCTGCTCGTTAAGGGCATCTGATGTAGATCCTCCTGAGCTTTCACTCAACGGAAGTGTGGATCCTTCTTGAGGTGGTGGAGATTGTTTTTCTGTAATGCTATATGGCGGTCGTGGATATCCTCCTGGATAAGAAGGTTTTTCTTCCCTTGGTACACATTTAGGCATTTTACATTTTTTCCGCCTACATATTTTTTTCTCTATGCGTTTGCATTCGTTTTTTCCTTTACACTTTTCTGCACTTGGCCACTCTTGCCGAATGAAAGGCAAGGCTTTTCTTATTTTGTCTCCATAAGGAGGTCTTGGTCGCCCACCTAGATAGGGACTTTCTTCTACGTAATTTTTGTATGTTTGACGAGATCCGTTTTTCTGTTTGAGTCTCACGATATCACTACATTTGTTTCTTCTAATGTCTAGTACTCTTCTGATTTCTTCCTCTGCTTGAAAGATTTGTTTGCTTCTTAGTTGATAAGATGGTCGTGGATATCCTGCCAAATAAGGACTTTCGCCTCCATTTTTCTCGCACTCTATGGGGTGAGTATACACTGGTCTTATTTCTTCCATCGTGTGATTGCTTTCCCCATTTTTTCTACCGAAACACTGCGTCTCTTTGCACTCCTGCAAATATTACTGAGAACTAGAAAACTTCGATTTTACATATTCTGCTAATAAGTATTTAAAAGGGATATTTGCCGTTGATCTAATCTCCCTTCTGCTGTCTATTCTTTCAAATTCTAAACTGCTACATATCAGCTGTGTCAGTGATTTGAGCCCTTTTTTGAAACTCATTTTCGGTTACATCTCACAGATTGAGCCTGCAGGGGATTGAAACCTCTTCAATTTCTTGTTGGTCATTCTTTTGGGAATTCCAAATATCGGTAACTTGATGTTCCAGCGAAAATAAATCCCAAATGCGCGACGAAGTATGTACTAATTGATTTTCTTAACATTCTTTTGCATACATCGTTGTGAAACATCTAATGTTCATCAAATTTTTCGATAGAAAGATTCCACTTCTATTCAGTTATCAAGCACCACCCCTCTAGAAGCATATAAAGCATTGGAGATATGACACAGTATCGCTAGCCATATCTCAATTATAAGGGCATAGTATGTCAACTTTTGTTATTCTTCTTATCTATCAATTAACGAGACACGATAAAAGCAGTTGATGCAATATATAGTATACCATCCTCCCTACTTTGTTGTTATACACTATTACTGCAAAAATATAAGAAGAATCTTCAAAATTTAGATTGGAAGCTTTGTGCACAAACAATAACGAGAAATCAAGTTTTCCGTATAAACAGTTTGATTAAACACTCAGCATAAGAGGCGAAGGCAACTACACAATTCGGAATGGGGTCTATGTCAATAGATGAAACTCCAACGCTGATCCTAAACTTAGATTTCTGGAAATTCCGTTGCAAGCAGTGATGAAATTCTATGCTGTTGCTACGGCAGTGAGAGCTTTAGGTATCCTTATTTGCAGCAATGGTAGAAAGGCGTAGATTTGGCTGGTGATACGTAAAAAATTTGTATGGTTGCTCTACTAGCGAATTCCGTGGTACAATTCATATTTGTAATAATAGAGAAGAGCGCATCGTCTTAGAGACAGACTGTGATTGTGCCATCTCTCTATTATCCCCATAAAAATTCTCTATTGTCAGTCCCTAAGGGCTCTAACGCAAAGTTCATGCGTTGGAGCCATAGAGGTTGAAAAATACGCAAATATCTCTGTATGCAATCTTGCTCTCTACCAACGCCATATTACTGAAAGAGCTTACCTTTAGCTGTGAGCATCCTGTTTTGACTAAAGTTATGAGAAGAATGAGCGAATACCATGAGACCATAATCGGCATGAGTGCAATGAAGAACTTGGATGCTAGAAATCTGCCTCTTCTTCTGCAATGCTATTTTTTTTCTTGAAAGATAATTTTTAGACAGGATGGGGATGAATGAGTTCAAATGAGTTTCGGCTTATGGGTGCCTTATGTTACGAGTATGATAGTGAGAGTAGGAAATAAGGAAGGAATTAATTTTTTTTCAATAGGTAGTTAAAAACCTCTCCATGATTTTTCGTAAACTTCCTTCCGCCCACATTTTCGATTTTCCTCTAAACCACGAATATTTTAGAGCCATTCCTGCTCTATAAACTTTTGTCTGGACTAAAGTTCG